TGTGGGTATCATCAATAACACTTAATGACAAATCTCTTGTTTTCATTTACGGAATCAAATAAAATGGGAAGATTCCACCACAACAACTGCATTTTTTTTTTGGCCATAAATTAAAAAGAGTCTGCACGATATATTTTGTTTTAATTTGGAGTGTAGGTTTACAGAGTATTTTATACTGCAGATCTATGTGTAAATGATATTTAACACAACAAGCTCATAATTACTTTAAATGATCATTTTGTAGTTTTTCTGCAAAGGGTTATACTTGCTAAGGGGGAATATTTTTTAGTTAGATCAAAGGAAGTGCCAGGACCAAGGACAACTGCCATGGGAAAGCCATCCTCAACAGCAAGCTGTGTTCCTGCAGGAGGACCTTCCCATCTGGGCTAAAGATATACAGTTTGTCATCTTAAAACCGGGAAGAATGATGTAAGAACAAAATTTTGTTTCTCTTCAGATCCCTGGGTGAACTTTCAGTTTAACTGATAGGTTTTAAAGCCATGGAATCTACATCGATAAGCTAATTAATGTCAATAAAACTCAAACAAATAGAAGGGGCCCACTTTATTTTCATTTCTGATATAAAAGTCCTAAAAGAGTGGATATCATCCATGTTAATGTTTTCATAGAAAGAAAAATTTTGTTCTTTTTTTTTAAATTTTATTTTTATCTTTTAATTTACATCCAAGTTAGTTAGCATCTACTGCAACAATGATTTCAGGAATAGATTCCTTAGTGCTCCTTACCCATTTAGCCCATCCTCCCTTCCACAACCCCTCCAGCAACCCTCTGTTTGTTCTCCATATTGAAGAGTCTCTTCTGTTTTGTCCCCCTCCCTGTTTTTATATTATTTTTGCTTCCCTTCCCTTATGTTCATCTGTTTTGTCTTTTAAAGTCCTCATAGGGGTGAAGTTGTATGATATTTGTCTTTCTCTGAGTGACTAATTTCACTTAGCATAATACCCTCCAGTTCCATCCACGTAGTTGCAAATGGCAAGATTCCATTCTTTTTGACTGCTGAGTAATACTCCATTGTGTATATATATATATATATATATATACCACATCTTCTTTATCCATTCATCCATCGATGGACATCTGGGCTCTTTCCATACTTTGGCTATTGTTGATAGTGCTGCTATAAATATTGGGGTGCATGTGTCCCTTCTAAACAGCACACCTGTATCTCTTGGATGAATGCCTAGTAGTGCAATTGCTGGGTCGTAGGGTAGTTCTATTTTTAGTTTTTTGAGAAAAATTTTGTCCTTGAGTTCTTACCTCTACATCAATAATGCCAATACTAATACTAATACCACAGTATTGATAAGAGTAATGATAAGAAGGATGACTTCACATTACACAAAACACCTTAAATGCATAATTGGTTGGACCCTTTTAGAAAGCCAGTAAAATTATGAGAAAATGTTGTAACTCCATTTTGTTAATGTTGAAATGAAATCTGGAGAGCTTAAATGACTTGCCCAAAGTATAATGGTTAAGACGTGACAGGCTGTGACCTGCTAATTCTGTGCTTTTCCCGCTAAGCTTCACGTTTCCATCTCTAGGCTTCCAGAAGCCATGGTTTTCTGTTAGCCATTTGTAGTTACACATTATTTTTGTTTTAAGTGATTAGTTTTCTGATTGTCAAAGTAACAAGTGGCCATTGTAGAAAATTTGAAAATATAGTGGAATATAAGGAAAAAATAGTAACCACCCTACTCCTGGAATCCAGCCCTGCAAAACTAACACATATTAACTGTTTCTTGTGTGTGTGTGTGTGTGTGTGTGTGTGTGTGTGTGTGTGTGTATTTGTGTGTGTGTGTGTGAACTCCATCCTTCTTTGTCCTAGGTTTTTTCAGATGGTTGGATGCGACAAATCAGGATTTTGGAGGACACCAGGTCACAAAGCTGACCCAGTCCTGAGCCTCATGGAATCACAGAATCTGGAGGTCAGACAAAATGTAGGAATTGCTTTTGCAACATCTCAGGAAAACGGGCTTCCCCAGTCCCATTTGACAGCCTCAGTTATTGTCAGGCTTACCGCTCATGTGTCGCTGTCTCCTGATGGTATCTCAGGCTGTCCCAAGGCTGCTTTCTGGGTGGGGAGGGCTTCTTGGAGAGTGCTGAGAAGTTGGAATGTTCCCTCTTTATTCCTCAGACTCTCCAAGTCCACTTCACAACCAATTTCAAGTCACTTAACCTCTCTGAGCCTCACTATCTTCATCTGTCACATGGTGATAGAAGCATGGGATCAACACCTTGATCCTCCATTAAGTGTTCATCCCTGAGATTGGTATTATTGTCACGACCAACCAGTGTTCATCCTCCATTAAGTGTTAATCCCTGAGATTGGTATTATTGTCACGACCACTGCCTCTGCCTACCTCGTTGGCTGTAGGCATGGACTGGGTCCACTAGTACTCACTTGTTCCCCAGACACTGTGCACCTATATGTCTCCCCCTAATTCCTGTACCTTCCTCCCTAGGGGAGGCTCTGGAATATCCTCCTTCCTAGTCTGGTTCCCACACCATGCCCCCTCCCACCCTCTCTGAGAACTCTGATTCGCTGGAAGGAACTCAGCTCCAACCCACTTGCCTTGCCTGGGGCACCCGGCCTCAGTGTGGGAGCCCAACGACTGGGGTGAGGGTGGGGGTCCAGCCTTTTTTTTTCACTTTTGGAGTATTTACTTAACAACCATGAGCCTCAGTGTTCTCACTCTTAAACCAAAGGGAATGTGCTGTGAATATGAATTGAGGCGAGCCACTGAAGGTGTGTTCAGGTAACACGTGTGCTTGAGGTATTGGCCATCTCCTCCTTCACACGCATTTTCTCTCTTGGTCCTCACTGCCACTCAGGAAGCAGGTGTCACTACAGGTAAAAACACTGAGCTCTGTGGGAGAAGTGACAGGCTCAAGGCCACCCAGATCCTCTGACTGGGCTCAGAGGTGAATCTAGGACTCCAGATCCTACGTGTTATCTACCATAACATGCAAACGTCCTGTGACTGATCTAGTAGCTTTTCAAACTTTTTTGAATTAAATCAATTAAATCAAATACAGCAGCAGGATACTCTGATATTCTGATCTCGTATTTAAGTAATTTATTTGCATTTTATGCTGGGTTTTGATGCAGGGCCGGGAAATCAACAAAACTTTTATTTTAAAGGGGAAAAAACTAGAGGGATAGAGAAATTGCCTTCTCATAGCTGAGTACCAAAGGGAGTGTCCCAGGCTGCTTATTTTTTGGAGATTGAGACCCCAAATGTCACAACACTGGCATTCAAAAGCCCAAAAGGTAAAGCAGCTTCTTCTAGCATATTTGTGACGTTTCCTGTCACCAGTCTGTGCCTGGGATAACAGTGATACATCCATGCGCTTTACTCTGCACAGAACATTTTTTTCAGCCTTGCTCGTTAGTAGATGTAAGCCAGCCAGTAACCCCGTGGGGTGTGTGTGCGCGTGTGTGTGTGTGTGTGTGCGCGCGCGCGCGAGCACCGCGTTGCATACTGCCCCCATCCCCTCGGGGATCTCCCTGGCAGCCCACAGGGGCTGTCCCCCTACCCCAGATTTCGTCTTGCAGCTTGCCCTTCTGAAATTGCTTCAGGTATGATTCTATCTCGAAGACTGAAGATCGGACTTGAAAAGGAGCCAGCTCTCATAGTGTCATTCCTGACAGATTTCTTAATTAATCTGCTCAGATTGTCAATAGTGTAATTCACTGTTGATTTAGAAACTAGTTATATGAGCACTGCTTAGTGCCATTGTGGGAAAACATCTGAATAATTCAGCTAATAGATGGGAAACTCACCCAGATTGCTGGGGCACAGGGAGCAAAGAGCTAACTCGCATGAGATGAGCTCGAGCAGGGTGATTCCAGCAAATTCCAGGGAGCGGGGAGAGGTTGTCATATTATTGGGGGCAGCAGCTGCCTGGTTTAATTATTGTCATTTCGGTTTTTGGAAAAAGGAACGTGGGCCTGGTATTCTCACAGGCAGAGGCCATTAACACACTCTTGAAAAACATTGCAGAATTTCAGTGTAAAATGTGTGATCTAGTTGATTACTAACTCAGAGCTACTCAGCGTGTTAGTGGGTCCCATTCTTGCGATGCCATATTATTTTTATATGATTCTTATTCAACATATGTGAGTTTAGTGATATGTACCATCCAAGGAATATAAAAATGGCTTCCTTCTCTTCTGGGAGATTGGTAATTATTTGGGGGTTTCCTAGAATTGAATAGATGTGTCCTGAGATTGGGGTCATCACCCATTTTACACCAAAACTTGGAGCTGTGTTGAAAATGAAGTTTATAGGTTGGTGAGTCTGCTTATGTGAAGAGTCTTACGTAAACATAAAAACTCAATCACTTTTAGTTATATACTTAACATTTTGTTTTTATTGAAAATCGTAAAATTATATGAAGTTGAGCTGTTATACTAAATTTTTTTGCCATGGTGGTTAGAGTTTTAACAACCTTAAGTGCAGACGAGTTAGTGGCTAAATGTAAATGTTAATCAGAATCATGGTGCTTTTGATAGGAAATGTTAATTCAGTTCCATTTATCTGCAGCTTCTCACGCTTGTCTTCTATTTTCTATCTCCCTTTCTCCCCCCCAACATCTTCGCATGCATGACAGCTCATGTGCACACACACGTGCACACACACAAACATACACGCACACACAGTACACCAACACATACATACGTGCACGCACCCACGTGTGCACACACATGCACATGCACGCACACTCTTGTCTGTCACCTCTCTTCCAGCTTTCTTTTTTTTTTTTTCAACGTTTTTTATTTATTTTTTTGGGGACAGAGAGAGACAGAGCATGAACGGGGGAGGGGCAGAGAGAGAGGGAGACACAGAATCGGAAACAGGCTCCAGGCTCTGAGCCATCCGCCCAGAGCCTGACGCGGGGCTCGAACTCACGGACCGCGAGATCGTGACCTGGCTGAAGTCGGACGCTTAACCGACTGCGCCACCCAGGCGCCCCACCTCTCTTCCAGCTTTCTATGTCACGTGAGGTCTTCAGAAAAAGGGAAAGAGCAAACAGCATCCAGGGCTGATAGCCTGACACTGACGGACTTCTAGCAGGTGAGAGGCAATTCTGCACGGGGTTCTGTGGCCTTGGATTTGAATACAGGCAGGACTGATTTTTAAATCCTAAACTACACTGGGAACCTTAGGGGACACGATTGCCTTTTGGCGGGTAGTGAACAGAAATGCAGCAAACGGTCCTTGAATGCATCTTGGCTGTCTGGAGAGGACATGGGTAAAGTAGGGCGTGGGTTAGAATCCGGCTTGGCTGGAGAGAACATGCCAAGTCACAGTGGACCGCACGGAGATAGGGATTCTCTCTCACCCAGGAAGTCTGGTGTGTGCAGCCGGGGGCTGGGGCGGCCACTCCACGTCACCAGGGACCCAGGCTCCTTCTGTCCTGCTGTTCCACCATCCTGGTCAGCGCACGATTTGCTCAAATCCCATGGTTCATTCATGGTCAAGATACGTGTGGGCGTTGGCGCTATCACACCCGTATCTCAGAGAGAAGGAAAGAGGCAGAGGACAAGGGGCACCGCTGCCCTCCCTTCTGCTTTTATTAAGCAGCTGTTCTGGAATCGCTCCTTCCTTCGCCTCCACGCATTTCATCTTGCACATCCTTGGCCGGAGCCCAGAGGGCCACACCTAGCTGCAGGGAGGCTGGGCAACGTGGTCTTTTCAGCTGGACACAAATAACACTGATGTTGTGTTACGGGAGAAGAGGGGACCGGGTATTCGATGGTAGCCTGAAGGCCACTTCCTACAAACAGTAGATGTTTTACAACAAGCAGTTGTTACAGCTCTAATGAAACCACAAATAAGTGCTTCCTATTTTTACTGAGTGCCTGGGTATTTTGAATGGAGAAGATGATTTGAAAGGATGATTGTTTCACGAGAGCCCGAGACAACAGCACTGATCATGGCTTTCTGTCACTTGTGCTGTCTACAGCCCCAGCTCTGGTCAGGGGTCGAGGGGCTGATAGATGCTGTCAGTATGGAAAGAATGGGTGACAGGTCCCTGAGTTTTCTAATAGCATTTGGAGAACGGTATGCCTTTTGTTGAAAAAAAAAAAAAAAGTATTGTTATTTATGTGTGTAATACCAGCCTTGTCTGATAGGGTATTCCCTGGGAATCTAATTTGTAAATAATTACTTGACAGAATGGAACTGGCTGGAAAAGTCTGAATATGCAGAGGCATATTAGAGGCAAGTTAGGAAAGCCAACCTCAGGGCCCAGACACAGCGGACGCACTTAGCCAGTCATTAGCAGAGGTGCTGGGAGCAGCTGGTCTACCTGGGATCCTGACGGAACGCCTGTCCCCAAAGAACGGATACGGGGACAGCCGGGTTTTTCTCCCTGTGCAGAGAGGGAGGGCGGTGTTCGGGGACAAGGAGGTGCTAGGGACTGAGGATTGGTGTCCCTGCCAGATTCTCGTGTGGAAGCCCAGTTCCTAGTGTGGTTGCATTTGGCGATGGGCCTCCGAGGAGGTAACCAAGGTTAATTGAAATCATGAGGGTGGGGCCGTGATCCGATAGAATCAGTGTCCTTGTGAGAAAAGGAGGATATGCCAGGGCCTTCTGTGGGTGGAAGCACCTGGGAGAGGTCACGTGAGGATAGCGAGAAGGTGGCTGTCTAGCGAGAGAGACAGGGAGAGAGCTCTCGACAGCGTCCATCCCGCTGGACCATAGTCTTGGACTTCCGCTTCCCGAACTGTGAGACAATAAATGCCCCTGGTTTGAGCTGGCCTGGCTGGGCTGTTTTGTTACAGCAACACAGACGCGCTAATACGGGGCGGTGAAATGGATGTGGGTGCCTCGGAAAGAATGTCAAAGCCAGATCCTGACAGTCTTGACTGGTCCCGTGGCTGTCCCGATGCTTCTGTTTTCACCACTGACGGGGCGCCAGCCTGGGCCTCCTCACTCGATTTACTCTCTGTGGTGAACACCCAGCCTTCCCCTCTCCTACTGATTCATTCTTCAGGTCATTCGTTTTAGCAGAGTGAGCACCTAGCAAGTCCCAACAGCCACGGGAAGAGGAAGGAGCCCGAGCTCTCGTGGTGACCCAGGGGGCGAACGCAGACAGTGGGGCCAGTATTCGTTACCTCTTCGTTGCCCTTCCTGCCGGCAGGGTCTACGGCAAATGCTCAGTAGTGCTGAATTGTAGGAGGCTCGCACTATGCCTGCGAGGGAGGGGCTGGTTTCATCCTACTTTGCAGGAAAGAAAGAGGCCCTGGAGGTGAAGTGACCTCTCCATGGACAAACTGGACCTCTCCAGCTGGTAAAGCTGGTAAGTGGCAGAGCCTGCGGTCACAGCCAGACAGTGGGGACCAGAGCCCCACAATCAACTCTGCGGTCAGACCAAATTGTTCCAACCCAACTTGAAAGTGGCTCGGGCCCTCTCAGGGGTGGCGGGCCAGGGAGAGACTTCCCAGAAAGTCATGTCCGAGTGGGGATCTGGAGGACAGTGTAACTGGGTGTGAAGAATGAGAGGGAGGCTGCAGGCAGCAGGGGCATGGGAACAGGGGAACCACGGGGTGAGCTGGGAGCGTAGGATGCCCGAGGAGGTGAGGGTGGCAGGGACACGGGAGAGGGAGAAGGGGTCTGCATCACGGAGGAAAGTGAAAACCATAGAGAACCATCAAAGAGTTTTTATCAGGGGGATGACAGGGTCACACTGCATTTTAGAAAGATTCCCATGGCTACACTGTGGGCGATGGGTGGGTAAAGTGGGAGAAGCAGGAGCTACTTTGGGGGCGGGGAGGATGGTATAATACCCAGGATGCCTGAGCAGCTTGCAAGGTTGTAGAGGGAAGTGAAGGGATCACCCTGCGGTGAGCGGAAGGGCTGACGGGTTTTCTGGAATTTGGGGAGCTGGTTATTAAACACGGACGGCCGTTCTTAAAAATTAAGCTGTAACAGGGTGCCTGGGTGGCTCAGTCAGTTAAGCTTCTGACTTGATTTCGTCTCGGGTCATGATCTTGTGGTTCAGGAGTTCGAGCCCCACGTCGGGCTCTGCATTGACAGTGTAGAACCTCCTTGGGATTCTCTCTCTCTGCCCCTTCCTTGCTCTCTCTCTCTCAAAATAAATAAACTTCAAAAAAGTTAAGCTGTAACAATGTATAGTTACATAAACTAGAGTAAAAACAAAGATGAATATTGAGATTCATTACTTCCTGATTATCTTACTGTTACCCCTTCATTGTAATCTATTCTGTTGAAGGCACTTACGTCCATTGCCCACGTCTGGTGGACACAAGGGTGTGCTGTTGTGAGTGGTGTCACATCTGTAACTTGGGACCGCCTCTGATTTGGTGGGAGTATTTACACCAAGGAAATCGGCAAACGTTACAGATGAGGTTTTGTCTCTTCAGCACGCTGTGGATGAGTCACCATCCTCCAGAGATAGAGCCCGAAAGAAACCTCCACCTGCCTCCAAGGTCCACCCGCAAACCTTCGCCAGCCTTCTCTTCTGGAACCTCCTGATGAGCTTGGCACACCCTCCCCAAACATTAACCTCTGGTAACCTGCTGGTGTCTGCTTTTATGGTCATTCTCCAAGCATCTTGATTCTTCTGTCGGCAGAGCTCAGCACAGAGTAGAGCTCACTCTGTGCTCGTGGGATGAACCCACCCGTGAGCGGGTGAGTAAATACGACTTCAGTTTTCTACATTGGTGTCTCTTTGGCCTTTGGGGTGGGCCATACCTCACTAAAGGGCACAACACTAAGGTTATGATAAGCCCCAAACTGCTTTTGGCCTCAAAAACAGCCCGAAGCTGAAGTGACATTTCACACAAATGTGAGTCGCGCTTGATGTTGAAGTGTTTGCTGAGAAACTACTTGAAAAAGGCCACTTTTGGAAGAAACTACTTTGAAGGCGACTTGACAGTCCACTGAGCTGAGAAAATGTGCCCAGGGAGCCAGGACCCACACATCAAAGGGATTTGGAAGGACAATTTGCAAGGAGAGCCACACGTCCGGATCACCTTGGGGAAAGCGGTCTTTGTCACTGATCTGAATCAAGGGCAGGAGGGCACAAGGACATCAGATTTGTTTGAAGAGAACAGCATCCTGTTAGTCTTGGAAAAGAATGACATGAAGCCACCAAAACACCACTTCCTCCCCTCTCCCAGGCCCGCTCGTCACCCGGTGAGACTCCGTACATCAAAGACTCTCTGAGCCCTGTGTCTTCCTTGTGTGTCACCCTAGTTAACGATTTGAAGGCAAATGCCCAGAACGCTGATATGAGGGGGTAGAAAGAGCTCCCTGCCCCTCCCGTGTGGTTCTACCGTGTCCCCCTCCTCTTGGGCTCACTCCTCCAGGCCTTGGCAATTTTTCTAGGTCCCAAGAGGCAGTGGACCCAAGCTCATGGGTTAACTCCACCAACCCCTGTAGGAGCCTGGGTAAATGACTTGAGTTTTTTGCCCCATCTGTAGAATTCGACTGTTACTTTGGCCTGTGTTACACCCCCCCCCCCCCCCACATGGCTACAGAGAGGTCCGGGGAAGTGATCTGTCATAGACTCCACGGAGCTGCAAGCTGCTGTTCTTAGCTTTGTCAATGCCATTACTAGTGTCTGGGTCCCCTCTTATTTGACACGAGACACCTAAGGCCCGGAGATGTGAAGTGACTCGATGAGGTCCCTGCCAGGGCCTTACACGGGGGTCTGGGAGTGGGTCCCGTGCCTCCTCTGTTAACAAATGCATTCCACTCTCGGTGCCCTTTCTTGTCAACTCTTACTTATCAGCCTCACAGCAGGTGAAGTCATCCAATAACAGAAAGCCACTGCCCATTTTGCTATGAATTTCTACCCAGGGAATGCGGACACACCCATACACCCCCGACCTACACCTCGCGTCACTCGGTTTTAGGATTAGTAGAAATACATACGCTCTTTTTTTTTAAATTTATTTGAGAGAGAGAGAGAGATTGTGAGTGGGGGAGAGGGACAGAGGGGAGAGACAGAATCTCAAGCAGACTCCATGTTCAGCATGAACCTGATGCGGGGCTCTGTCCCACAACCCTGGGATCATGACCTGAGCCAAAATCAAGAGTCGGATGCTCAACCTACTGAGCCACCCAGGTGCCCCCAAATACATACTCCTTAATGGAGCCACATGAACGTGGGGGGGGGGGTGCATGCTCTCGCTCTCCTGGTTTGATACACTATAAAATTGGATTTTGCAAATTCTATTCCTTCTGTACATTGTGCCCTCAGGACCATAGCTCTCTGGATAACCTGGCCTTACACAGACCTCAGCCACCCCCCAAGATGGTCAATGTCCATCCACTTCTAGCCCTTTCCCTGGGAAAGCGTATCATTCCCGTGCTCTACCTTCCAAAGCATCTCCTTGGGACCAGTGGTGCCCACATCAGCACTTGCTGTGTTCACTTGCACGCTGAGCGGTTTTACAAGCGGGACAATGAACCAGACATAGAGCTGATGACTGCAGTATACTCCAGTGAGTGCCCAGAGGGGCAGCAAAGCCTTTCAATGGAGGGCAAAGCCTGGGAACATCCTGTCTCCCGCCAGCGCCACCCTGAGTGTTCCACTGTCCCTTTGGCCCAATAACAGAGTTGGTCCTCAGTAAATGTTTATTGAGTGAATGCATTCCTGAGTCATCCCTGCCTTGCCAGGTTTGCTCATTCATTCACTCATCCACTCATTCAATCAGTGTTTCAGTCACCTTCTGTTGTGTGCCAATTATGTGCTAGGCGCTATACTAAGTACTGAAAGTGCAGAGATGCATTAGATTCACACTCTGCCTCAAAGAACCTCATTCCAACAGGGGAGACAGAAATATGCACGATCACTTTGCGACGAAATGAGCGCAACTGTGCAGATGTGACAAGGCGTCCAGGGGAGCAGGCCTGGTGGATGGGAGGGACAAGGTGTATAAGGGGTAGAGGAGGGATCAGGAAAGACCCCCCTGGGTGGGGGAGGCCAGCAAGTCCCCCTGAGGTACGAGGGCTGGAGAGCAGTGTCGACAATAGTTTGCCCTGAAGGTCCACGGCCAGCAGTCTTTTCAGAACAGACGATGTCACCTCTCAGCACAGCTTTCCACCAAAGCTTCTTGCTCTGGCTTCTGGGGTGACACTTGGACCCAGGGGAAGAACACCTGGCTCCTGAGTCTGATTGCTTGACTCCCTTCCCTTTTCTTTCCTTTGCCAGCAACTTCTAGGTGGGCTCAAGAAAGTTGGAGTGCAGTCTCCACTTTTGTCCTCCAGAGTCCAAGGTCCAGTTAGGAACGCTGCTCCCCTGTTCACTACCCAGTGAACTTTATCACCTCCCACCCTTCCTATGACAGAGTGCTCCTTGAGTGCAGATTTCGAATACAACCCTCAGATAGGACAGTTTTCAAGGAACTTCAAAATGCAGATGGCCTCCTCGGTAGGCCTCAGGTTCCAGATCAACCAGAAGTCATTTAGAAACACTGTGAACTCTGTGACTAGCACCCACAGCCAGTACCTACCTTATATCTGAACAAGTATCCATTTCTTTACGTTCCTTTTGGTTGAAAGAAAAGTCTGGGATGGGCAGACTTAGGGCGAGGTCCTTCCAAAGCTAGGTTCTTGCTAACAAGCTCACAGAAGCACCACGTCAAATGGGACTTGGATTTAATACTTGGTTCCAACTACTGATTTTATCGATAAGGAAACTGAGGTCAGGGGAAGTTCCAAGTAGCTCTGAACTAAAGCAACTCGTGGGTGGCAGAACTGGAGCCCAGCGTCTTGCCACTCAGGCCCTGCGCCTCCCACCACACTTTATCATCGGCATCAGAGCAGTAACTTCAATTAAAATTGATCGGGCATGGTCATCTACGCGACAAGCATTGTACCAGGTGTCGTGGGATATGGCACCAGTGGAGAGTGCAGAGCCCTGGTCTTTAAGTATATTGTGGTCCAGTCAGGGTCAAAACTCCTGTTTGTTAAACTCACGTTCAATGGCAAATGACATTGTTGTGGAGTAGAGAGGTGTAAGTAGCTACAAACTCCGGAGAGTTCTTTTGAAAAATGGTATTTGAACCAGGACATGCACAACATGCTGAGATGGGCGAAGACGTGGTAGACGGCTCCTGATATGCTCTGTCTCTGGAACCTACTTGGAAATCAAGGACTCTCTAAAAGCCCTACTTCCACTACAATTTTGACCATCATTCTTGCATTTTATTCCTAAATAAAATAGAAGTTTTGGCTTCCTTTTTCTTCTTCTTTTCCATTTTCCTGGGATGGGTGGTATTGTTTAAAGCTGTGAGCACACACGTGAGTACACATACTCCTTTGCACGCACGCTTATGCGCTCACAGGCACGCTCTTGCACACGTACACATGGGTGCGTGTGCACGCGCACACCCACGGACACACACACACTAGGAGCTTCCTTTTCAGGAAGGAACAGCAGCAGTTCACATGAAGAATCCTGCACCATAAACTCTTCTTCAGCTAGATTACATGCGGGACAAGTGCTGACTTTCAATTTATGCCTCTGACATGAGTCATTGAGTGCTCTGATTCTCAGTTTATTTGTCCTGTCTTCAGTACAATGGATTGAATGTAGGGTTATCCAGCCATGACGTGGCGCCTTGATGCCTCCAATATGGGGCTGATGAAACCTGAGCGCCTGGCGCTGTCTTCCAGGAATACGAAAATTTGATTTGGGCTGGAGCCAGCCTCCCTCCTGCTCTGGAACCTGGGTGGAACGTCTAGGGGAAACACTCAGGTCATTCACTGCAGCCTGGGGTATTTGCATAATACCTGATCTCTCGGGATCTGGCCTCAGATGTCACTTACATAGCTTATCACAGTGATGAATGTTGCTTTCACATTTTCCGTCCCCCGTCTTTTGAAGCGTTATACAGAACTATGGTTCCATCGTTAAAGGTTCAGAAGATAACTGTATTCATTTCTAAATTAACGTTTCAGATTTCCAAGCTTGCCTGGGTGCATCTCTCTGGAGATCCGGGACAGCCCCCCCCCCCCCCAAGCCACCTCCCAGACCTCCCAGGTGATGCTCCTGGGAGCATTTGCAACCCTCACTGTGACTGCAGCTGATAAGTAAATCTCCAATGTGCTCGAATTTCCGCCAAGCTCACATCTCGCCACAGAAAGCAAGGTCAAGTGGACTCTCTCATTTGTAAGGACACCCATCCAGGCTCAAGAAGACGTTCCTTAAACAGATACCATCTTTTAAAAACTCCAGGAAGCCAAGCGTTAAGCAAAAGTGGAACTTGAGACTTTTTCTCTTGGTTCCCTATTACGAGCATTGACTGTGTGTTTTGCAATTGCATTCGTGTGCACACTCACACATGCACATGCAAGGGCACACACACGTTCAGAGTGGACTCCTGCCCGAGGTGTGCGGATTCCCAGCGGCCCCAAAAAACAGCACTAGGTATTGACATTGGTGGGTAGGTTACCAGGATATTCTGGACAGGCCTGTGGGATAAGATACCTCCCAGCCACCAGAGTAAACTACCAAAAAAAAAAAAAAAAAAAAAGCA